TCTTGAGCTGAATGCTAAATTTCTTTTAAATCAAATTTCAGATTTTGAACAACTTATCATCTTAGAACGATCCAAGTTTCATAACGAGAAGAAAGAGTATGAAGAAGAATGTCAAAGAAAGAATTTGGAATTGTCGGACAGCATTGTTCAGAAAAAGAAAGAATTAGATGAAGAGAAGAGAGTGTTTATTCTTGAAAAGAAAAACACTGTTAAGAAAAATGCTGCAATTGCCAAAGAGCTTACAGAGAAAAAGAAATGGCTTGGCATTGCTTCAGAAAATGAGAAGGGAAGTTCAGACGAAGAGCGAAAGAAATTTGAGAAAGAACGGTGATTTTTTGAAAAGTCAAAGAAGGAATTAGAAAGTAAGTTTTTGGATACTACAAAGAAATTGTCTGATCTAAAGACAGACCTTGAAATTGAGTTGAACATGAGAACTGATCTGAAAAAGAAATAACGATTTAGTTACTGCTGAAAGAGACCAACTTTTACAAAAAGTCAAAGACTTTTTGTGTGCTAAAGCCCAACTGGTTCTCAATCACAGTGTAAAACCAACTTTTATGATTGTTCCAAATCGAACAATTATTCAAGTAGTCCTAAATCTACTGTTTCTAAGAACTATTCTCGTTCTAATCATTATTATCAAGGGTATGTCATTGGATCACCCAATTATTCTTCAAAGGTTAAAAACATTTGGGTCAATAAGTCTGAATCTGTTTTATCTCAGAACTCTTTTGTTACTAACAATCTTCCTTGCTTTGTGAGATCCACTTCTGATTTGATTCATCTTAGCAAGAGAAGAATCATGTGCTCCACATGTAAATCAACAGATTTTGTGAATAAGAAGATCTATAACAGATGGAGTACAAACAACAGATATCAGACTAATTCGAATTGTAAGAACAGGTATGATTATAATTACTGGTACAGTTCATATTTTATTCCTGATCATCCTTTTGTTAGTGCTGAAAAGAAAATATCTTATAGAAATAAATGGTTTGGAAATTTCAAAATACCCCAACCAGATACTAACAAAATAGGACCCAAGTTTGTTTGGGTACCAAAATCTGTTTAACCTGGTTTTGCAGGTGTGTCAAGTTTGTGCTAATCAGAATATCATTTCTATGATACACCAATGCAGGGGGAGTTGTAATTTATTCCAAACGAGGCTTCTGAACATTTCAGTTTAGGACCCATGCTTTAGAACCCGTACTTAAAAGGTTTTCTTTAATTTTTTTTCCTTTTGAGCTTAACTGAATCATTACTGAAATCAACTTTCTAGGGGGAGTCTCTAGAAGTTTTTTAATAAAAGTTTTTTTTTGATAAATGAGTTGTTTTTGGAAAACGAGTATATTTTCTAAACAGGTATTTCCTGAGATTTTACTTGTGTAAACTCCAATACCTGTTTCAGCTATTCTTCAAACTTTTATTATCACGTCTCTTATAAGATAATCATTTTCGGTGATAATACACTCGTTTGTATTCAAATACTGTTTTTCTGATTTTTTTTCTTTGACTGATATATATTCATTTTTTTTAACAGAATCTGTAAATTCATTCTTACAGATCTTCATTCATTTCTCTCATACATATCGAATAATCTAACCGTTGTCGCATCATTCGTTCGTTAATTGTGCATAAAGCCAAATTTCTTGATCAATTTTTTATCTGATCATTGTGCTTTAAAGAAATAATATTTTAATCAACCATTGTGATCATCTGAGCATAAAATGTAACTTTAGGAGGGACTGAGTGCTTATCAGAAATACCTCAATGGAATGTCAGAACCGACAAACCTACCCATGAGGACAACCATATCTGAGTGAGCTTTATATACAAAAGGGTTTGTGTGCTGAGACTAAAATGAAAAAGAGAGGGGTAGT